TCCTTCCTTCCTTCCTTCCTTCCTTCCTTCCTTCCTTCCTTCTCTTCTTTCCCTTCCTCCCTCCCTCTCTCCTTCCTTCCTTCCTTTCTCTTTCTTTCCTTCTTTCTTTCTTTCTTTCTTTCTTTCTTTCTTTCTTTCCTTCTTTCTTTCCTTCTTTCTTGCCTCACTTGGCCTTCAACTGCTATCCTCCGATCTCTACCTCCCAAGTATCTAGAATTGTAGGTGTGAGCCACTGTGCCTAGAGCTGGGTTTTGGAAGTGACTGGTGCCACTTGGGGAGACCCACAGGCGTGGGCCTGGACTGAGATTTGAGCTCTTGGGTCTGATTTCACATCTGTCCCTTATACTGTGTGACCGGAAGAATATGTCGGACTTCCCCCCTCCCCAATCTCCTCATGTCCCCTAAAGCACTTGTCGAAATGTCTCTTTTCATCTCATTTGGCTCCGGGGCTGTGGGCTCTGGAAGCCTTCATGGTGCAGAAGAAAGAGCAGAGGTCTGGATTCCAGTACCACTTACCCTTCTTGCTCAGCATGTGCAAAACCAGTGATGGGTTTTCAGGCACGGTGCTGAGCTCTCCAAGTACCATCTCATTGACCCATCCCAGCAGCAACAACAAAGTACCATCCATTCTTTACACTAGAAATAAACAGTCTCCATGTAGGCGGTCGGCTTGTCCTGGGTTTAACAGCTATGCTGGTGGTTCTGGGATCTGGAGCTCACACTTTTTTTTTTGGTCTTTTTTGCATTTTGAGACAGGGTCTGGCTGTGTAACCTCAGCTGGCCTTGAACTCTCCATCCTCCAGTCTCAGCCTCCCAAGAGGCTCAGATTACAGACCTGTACCACCTCACCCAGCTGGACCTATATAGTACCATGGTACAGTACCAGGGTACTGGTGTTTGCTCAGTACCTGTGTCCTGGGAACTCTGCTGCCCACGAACTTGCCCTCACCCTCTCTGTGACTGCGTGAAGTAGGATTCTACCAGCCTGACGCACGAAGCTGAGGCAGAAAAATAACACTTCCAGCAACCATGCAAATGGATGGAGACAGCTACACACAGGTGAGCAGGTGCTTAGTACCTGCTCCAAGGATGGCATACCTCGACTGTAGATGCCCCCAGCAATCTCCTGGCTTCCATCCACCCTGCCCACTGTAGCTTGCCCAAAGGCTTTGTCCAAGCCCCAGGCATCAAGCCCTCTGGACTCTGGGCAGTACTGTGGCTTCCTCCACCCCCACCCTGTGCCCATTCCCTGACTTTGCTCCCATTCTCCCTGCAGCGATCCTGCATTCTCCTTCTCCAGAGCCCTGGAACCCTAGCACTCCATCTCTTCTTGCTGGAGCCTCATTCACCCTATTCACATGTTCTGCAACTCTTTAGAGAAGCAAGTGTGGTGACCATGACTTTAAAGCTCATCTGTACAGGTGGCTGCAGCCAAGCCCCGCCCCCTCTGCCCTGCTGCCCAGGGTGGCCTCTGATATAGGGGTCAGTGGACCTGATCTCCAGTCATGGATTTCCCGGTCAGGAGTTGTTGGAGCCCGAGTGCACCATTTCCATTGGGCTGATGGGCTCCCCATTCAGTGGCAGACAAAACTAGGGGTAGTTTGGTAAGTAATGCGGTGCTGCGGGACTCTGAGTGTTTCCTGTGTGGCCTGCCTTCTACACTTCTTTCCCTGGCTGTGGGTTTTATCCTAGCTGTGTGTTTCTGCCACCCTGAGAGCCCATCCTGAGGTCAAGTGGTTTGAGTGGCCCAGAGGGGGTGGAGTGTAATGAGAAGCTGTCATCCACAGGCCATGGGAAGTGGGGAGGGGGGAGAGGACCTGGGGGACCTCGTCCTCCCCCAGGACCTAGCCTGAGTCTGCTTTGTGGGGCTCCTATAGCGCTCTGGAGGCCTGGGCACCGTGCCAATGAAGCTGCCCTTTCTAAACTTCTGGCTGAATCTACTTTCTCCTTGTCTGGGAACCTAGACTTTCTCCAATAGCTCTCACTGGGAAACGGAGGCAGTATTTCTTATTGTTTTACACATTTTATTATTGTTTTGTGCTGGGACTGGGACTCAAACTCAGGGCCTGGGCTCACTCCCTGAGTTCCTTCCTTCAGGGCTGGCCACGCTACCACTTGAGTCACAGCTCTGCTTCTGGCTTTTGGGTGGTTCACTGGAGATAAAGAGTCTCCCAGACTGGGCTGGCTTTGAACTGTGATCCTCATATCTCAGCCTCCCAGGTAGCTAGGATTTATAGACACGAGCCACTGGCGATCAGCTAAGTTTTATTCTTTTTTAATGAGAATCAGTTCCTTCTCCAGGCTGGCCCTGGAGTTCAGGCAACATCCTCTGGAGGCGCTGGTAGAACACCACCATTTCCTCAGGCCAAACGAAACACCACCTCTGCCTGCAAGCTGGGGATGGGTGGGTGGCAAACCTGAGTGCTGGAGATCCAGTTGCCTGGGCTCAGATCCTAGTGACTGTTGGCAGGTGCCTTTGCCTTCTGGTGCCTCAGTTTCCCCTCCAAAAGGTGGACATAGATGCTCCTATCTCCTATGACTTGTTAGATGTAGAAGCATCTGAACATCTTGTACAAGATAAGGTCTTGGATAGGAGCAAATGGAAGCATCCTTAGAGAATTCAGAGAATTATGTGCTCTAGGGTGTACGTTTTAGGCCTGCCCCATTGCACCGCCAAACTCACTTGGATAAGATAGACTTCTGTTGGCTTCACTTCCCTACGTAAAAAATATTGCTGGCCATCTCTTCCTGTCGGTGAAAAAAAAAAAGGAAGGTGACGTTGTTTGTTTGTATCCCCTGCAGTGCTGGGTTTCATCAACATGACAGAGGTCACGCCCTGTGGGAGGGCAGGCCGATGGCCCCGCCCACAGCAGTCCACATCTGTGTCTCATTTACTGCTGGCGTCGCAATTTGGTTTCTGCCAGACAAAGCTGAAATACGTGAGCAAGTGCTGTGTGTGCGTGTGTATGTGTGCGCATGTGCATATGCACACGTGTGTGTGTGGGTGTGTGCCAGTACTGTGGCTGGAATTCAGGGCCTCCCACTTGCTTGACTTGCTTTAGCTAGTGCTCCACCACGTGAGCCATGCCTCCAGCGAGGCTTTTTGCTGCTTATTTTGGAAGATGGACTCCCTGGCTGCCCAGGCTGGCCTTGAACTGTGATCCTCCAGATCTCAGCCTCTTGAGTGGCTAGTGTTACAGTCATGAGCCACTGGTGCCTGCCACACCTTCTTTCAGAAGACATGCTACCTGCAGGTTATTTCTTGTACATGTCCCTGAAGTTGCTTTTCCTTGTCACCGTTGTCTACACATCTCATTCTGGAAGGTAACAGCAGAAGACCCGAATGTGGAGAGCTTGCCAGTGAGGATGGTGTTTGTCCCTGCCTGGGAGAATTCCTCTCACTGGCGCCCCTCGAGTCTACGTTGGAGTAGAGTTTCATCTAAATGGACACGGGTTCTGGACAAGGCAGAGGCTCCTCCTGCCTCCTGCCCTGCCCATGTTTAGAGTGTTTTATTTATTTTATTTTATTTTTTGTCAGTTGTGAGGCTTGAACTCTGGGCCTGGACGCTGTCAATCAGCTCTTCAGTTCAAGGCAAGTGCTCTACCACTTGAGCCACAGCACCACTTCTGGCTTTCTGGTAGTTAATTAGAAATAAGAGTCTCACGAACTTTCCTTCCCAGGCTGGCTTTGAACTACGATCCTCAGATCTCAGCCTCCTGAGTAGGTAGGATTACAGATGTGAGCCACCGGTGCCTGACTACATGCTTAGAGTTTTATGCATTGGAGCAAAGTTTCACGGTATGAAAAATTCCACAGTGGCGTCATGTCAGAGCCCGGGGATCTCAGATGGTTAGGAGTTTCTTCTTCACCCTTATGTTCCTTCCTTCTTCCATCCTTTCCCCTCTCTCTTGCTCTCCCCCCTCCTCTCCTCCCCTCCTTTTCTCATTTCCTTTAGGTTGAACCCAAGGCCAGCCCTTTTGCAGGTAGATAGATAGATCTCTATATAGATAGATCTCTATTTCTCTCTATATTTTGAGTGTGTGTGTGTGTGTGTGTGTGTGTTATGGGGCCTGAAGCTTTTTTCACTCAAGGCTACTGCTCTACCACTTGAGCCACACCTCCACTTCTTTTTTTTTTTCTGATTAAATT